ATGAATTGGGGGCGGAGGACGATACATTCGAACTTGAGGTCCATGAAGAGCCCGTTATGGAGGAGGACTGGCATGAACTCGCCCGCATGCTGCCCGACCGCCCGCTGGAGGAAGAGGATATCGACATCCTCGGCCGCCGAGACATCGACGTCGATTATGATTGGACCCCTCACGTTGGACGGTATACCGATGATGGTATTCTCAACGGCGACTACTGGAAGCAACGCAAAGCGCGAAACCGCCTTGACCTTGATGTGGATCATCAGCCCTTGGAAGCTCGCGATTCCCTAAATCGAGACCAGCGCCTAGTGTACGATACGGTGATGGACCACTTTCTGAATCAGGAACCTTCTCAGTTGCTGCTTCATGTAGATGGTGGAGGTGGTACTGGCAAGTCATACCTTATTAACCTGCTCTCTGCGCACCCCCAAGCCGCTGCCGCCAGGAGGGGGACACCGGTTTGGCGTGCCGCGCTCACAGGCGTCGCGGGAAACCAGATATCGGGCACAAGTTCTTTGGTGGACTAAATATCCTGTTGGTTGGCGACTTCTTTCAACTTCCCCCCGTTCTGGTTGGCGCCTTCTTCCAGCTTCCACCCGTGCTACAGAAGCCGCTCTATTACGATAAAGAGATGCAGGAAGTAGAAATCAAGGGCAGGAACGCGTATAGACGCTTCGATAAATCGGTCTTCTTGAAGATTGTCTAACGGCAACGGGGCGATGATCAGAAGGCGTTTCGCACAGCTCTCGGGGGACTGCGGCCCCTCCAACTATCGGTCGAGTCCTGGAAACTCCTTTCAACCCGAGTACAGGCAAAACTAGATGATGAAGAGGTCGCCAGGTTCGCCAACGCCTTACGAGTATACGCGACTAAGGATAGGGTGAACGAATATAATCACTACCACCTCGACCGCCTCGGCCGGCCAGTCATCCAGGTCAAAGCTAAGAATGTTGGCCCCAGCGCGGCTGCTGCTCCTGACGACAAGGCGCGCAACCTTGCGAAGCAGATCCCCATATGCATTGGCGCCTGTCTGATGCTGACGTCCAACCTTTGGCAGCCAGTTGGCCTCTGCAACGGCGCCCGTGGTACCGTTTACGACATCGGCTGGGCACCTGGGGCTAACCCCGTCCAAGAGCCCTGTGTTATCATGACGGAGTTTGACAAGTACAGCGGACCGGTGTTCTTGACCACCGCTGATGACCGGCAGACCGTCCCGATTCGGGACTTCCTCATCGGAGCCACTCATTGCACTCGCACCCAGTTTCCCCTGATTGTATGCTACGCTATCACCGTTCACAAGTCGCAAAGCATCACTGAAAATGTGATCGTTACGACCTCTCCTGTGGGGACTTTCAGACTGGTCTCAGCTACATAGCTGTCTCTCGTGTGAAAACGCTCCAGGGCCTGATGTTGGATGCGCCATTTGATCGTAGTCACCACTTTTATGAGTCTCCCCAGGGTGGTATGAAGATGAAGATGAGGGATCAGCGGCATAGGAGACGACACGCTCTTATACGGAACCTCTATAGGACAGACCATGGTTTTGCATAATTCCAGGTGGTTCTGCTCGCGGCAAGAAGAAAAGTTACAAAATCGCTCCAGCGCTTATATAATGTATTAGTTGTAGGTAATTTCTTGGCTCACAGACTCTCAGCCTTCGGATGATTCTACCCCTTGCAGCACTGGTCCAACGTGCAAGGCATGTATTTATATTGTAGCACAACCGACTTAATCCGCAGCTCTATCGAATTCTTTCTCTCCTTAGAAACAATTATTTTGCTCAAGTCAAAACTGAATTTTCTCCTACCATTGTACTATCATGTAAAGCCCAAAACACGCTTGACAGCACTACTGCACCTGAAATTACACCATTCAAGCAAGCCACTGGTCCTGGAGCTCCTTGTGGCTGTCAGCCTTCTCAATGGGGACTTTGTTAGGCTCCGAGCCCAGTACAACGCAAAGCGCACGAACCCATTCGTTGCTGCGGTTTGATAAACTAGGAACAAGACCAGTCAGTATGTCTTAGCAGGAGAGGTTCTGCATGCCGTCAATAGCTATATAATAACTTGGACTTACGCATGGATAGGACCTCGCTGGTAAATAACATCACCAGGGTGAGCGACAGTCTCGATAAGGTCGTCAGCACAAGTCGCCTTGCCGTCCTTGATGTGATACACGTCGGACGTGGGCGTAATGAGGCTGAGATTGCCACTAATCACAATGATATAGTCGGTTGAAGTGGTGCGGTGCTACAGTTTTTCGAAGAATCAGATTATGCTGTTTGAATAGGAGAAGTCAATAAAAACTTACCAACGCGCCCTCTGTGCCAGGAGCAATATCGAGATAATAGGTATTTAGGCCGCCAGGCATTACGATGCCAGCGCCCGGAACGTCATCCAAAGGAAGCTCACCACTCGGGTATGTCAACAGCGCTCTTTGATGGAAAATTAAACTATTACTTACTGGCCATCGTTTTTGGTGGGCATCTGCTTGCTAGTACCTATGACGGCGCGTCTGAAGCTGCCATCAAAGAGAGATTGGACCTCGAGGTTGTCAACCTTGACCTCGACACCAGGCTCGGCATGGTCATCGGTGGCATGGTCGGAGGGCAAGGGCAGATTAGAAGCAGTGATTCTGCGGGGCGCAGGGAGACTGTAGGACTTCTCAAGGGCGGACATGGTGATGAACGTTATTATTGTTGATGCGGGATTTATCTTGGGCAGAAGTGAATGGTGTCTGTATGTTGAGATTTACGTAAAAGAGTCCCGGCCTCAGCTGAGTGATACCGGCTTTGTTATAGCAAGCACTGTGAAAATTTACCGCTGCTATTGATTACCAATATGGTCAGCAAACAATGAATTATTAAGCATCCATTGTTACACGCGACTGTGTGAAAGGATGTCGCAGGTGTTGGCTGAAGGGTGGGGTGTTGAACGTCTCAGCGGAGCACAGATGAAAGGAGTGGGGCCCATAGGTGGCGAATAAAGTTTACGTCGCTGGCGGTGCATTAGCTAGCCGCATCGGAAATCTTAAATGCACCGTCGTAAGCTTTAGGGCCCCACTTGCAACTCTCGCATGACTTACATGACTTCCATGCATTAAAAAAACACCCCGGAGCCATGACACGGCACGTAATGCGCTTAGCCGAATATGGCCAAGTGCCTCGCGCGTTCCTAACTGCCCAACGCCGCTGCCCCTCCCTGACGCCACACCCATGGGCCGGATTCGGAGCCAAAGTTGTCTCATCCATCCCAAATGGCCGGAATATAGACAACGCTAATCCCCTTCACCTCCAACATCGCCCGCAACTATTCTCTGCACCTACCCAAAAACAAACGCCCTGCTGCCATTTTAGCTTCGCATCTTGCTTCTGGCACCCTCGCTGCCAAACATGGACTCCGCAGTTGACATGAACGGTGCCTCCAAGGTATTGGAACTGTCCCGAATTCGCTTCCATTTGATGTCAGTCCCCGACGTCCAAAGCGCGCTCTTCCACATCGCTTGTCAATGCGACACCTAGTTAATACCCTTGCAGTCGCCTAGAAGATACAATTACCTTTCACCTCATTGAGCGCGTCCAATTCCCTTTGAACAAGGTACATTTGCCAGCGCCTTCTGTCGACGCATCTCAACACCAAAACTGACCGGTTCCTCCCCCTCTTCAGACAATCTACACTCCCGGCGCCATCAAAATCCCCAACAGCAACCTCTCCTTCTTCGACTGGTACTTTTCCAAACAGGAGAAGCTCCAATCCCTCATCCGCCGCTACGAATCCCCCGACGAATACCCCTTCTTCCCGGACGCCGTGCAGACCCCGATCCTCAAGCCCCTCAACTACCCCAAGATCCTGCACCCCAACGACGTCAATGTCAATGACAAGATCAAGAAGTTCTACATTGAGAAGTTCCTGCCCGCCGTGTGCCCCAATTTCGGACGCCAGGACCGCGGCGAGTCGCGGGAGAACTATGGCTCCGCCGCAACGTCAGACTTTGCGTGTTTGCAGGCGCTGTCGCGGAGGATCCATTTCGGGAAGTTCGTCGCGGAGTCTAAGTATCGATCAGACCCGGAAAAGTACAAGAAGCTAATTCTGGCGAATGATCGACTGGGCATTGAGGAGATCATTACGAATCAGGCGGTTGAGAAGTCTGTGCTCGCGAGGTTGCGGTTGAAGGCGTTGACGTATGGAAAGGATCCATCCATCTCGGATGGCTCTGACGAGCATGGGAAGATTGACGTGGATGCCGTGGTGGCCATGTACGAGGATTTTGTGATTCCGTTGACGAAGGAGGTCGAGGTTGAGTACTTGATGCAGAGGCTGGAGGGAAAAGAATAGACCAGGTCGAACGAGTAGGTGCGGGGAAACAATGAATTTGCGGCTGTGGGAGAGGCATGATACAAAATAGAAACTTGGAATATCTGGCATTGAAGCTATAAACCATTTTATTTACTCATGTGGCTCACGTCTACAGCTGTGGCTGTAAGTAGTGGGTGATGGCCTTGACAGCGCCAGGGAACTTGCTCGCTTCAATCAAAATCATGTGTCCGACGGGTTTAATGCCCGCCTGCTGGAATGCTCGTTTGCTGTCGGCCACCGAGTCGTTTTCCTTGATATAAGAGTAGCTCCCATACGCCAGCGCGTGCTTCAGCAGCACCTCCTCCTCAGGTTGGAAAAAGAATGTCGACTCCTCCTCCTTGGCCTTTTTCTTCTTGCGGCTCTCCACATCCAGCGTCGACACAACCTCCTGATAGGTCTTGGACAGAATCAGGTATTGCGAAAACTCGTACGGTTCCTTGTCCTCTACGGCAGCCTCTACCTCGTCAATGAGGATCGAGTACGGTCGGAAAACACCAAACCAATGTGTTTACCGGCATTAATGAGCTCGGGAACCGCGGCTAAAGAGGCATTCATTTGCGCCTTCTCGACTAGGTATTTCAGGATGCCTCCAGGAGCCGGAGACCCACATTCCGGCCGATGAGGCACATGAAACCCACCTGTGCGTGAGGGAACGGCACCACTTTAGGAGACCTAGACAGCTACTACAAGTGATTTTGTACAGAACCGTAGGGAAGTCCCTAGCAATCTACCTGATCTAATAATACCCGTTGGTCAAGACGTGGGCCCCTTGACCAACGGACGTGGCGCGTAATATAAATACTACAGTCACATTGTCTACTTTTCTTCGCAATGTTGGTGATCTATTTGAAGAGCTCTTAGTCTTAGCTGAAAACCTAAATATCGTACTCCTGCGGCCCCGTACCATAGACAGCGACCCTCGCCTTCAAATTGAGCCCCGAAGTGGATACAGCAATGGCAGCATCATGACGAAGCTCCAATATACGATAGAAGGCGCTCCGATAGGCCGCTGCGGTAGTACCGAGTACTAATGGCGCTTAATAAAGCGGTTAACCGACGCTAAGACTGGCCAAGAGTAGGTGGA